TATATATATATTTCTATATAAACAAACCACTAGCTATGCGCGGATCAATAGTCTTRATCACTTCCTTCGCCTTCTCAACGCATTTGCGATACTTGACTTCATAGGCCATCAATTCCTGCTCCCGCGTACTCAAAGTTGATTCCAGCTGCGTTATTTTGCACTGCATTGCGGAGTTTTGGGTGCTTGATTCCTCGATTTGCAGGGCTACAAATAGACAATGAAAACTTTTTAATAATACATTTATAATGTATATCCTTTTGTACACTTACTCTTTTGCTCATTGAGCTCCATTAACTGCTTGATCTGCTTGCTCAATTCATTTCTGTGGTGTTAAGAGTAAGAAATTTAGTTTATAGCTTATTGTTGTCTGAATGTATTACTCACTCTTTTAATATGGGATCGTCACTTTGCGAGGCATGCGTTAGGGAGAGTATTCGCTCATTGGCTGCCTTCATTTGCTCACGCAAATGCTCGCAACGTTTGTTGGCATCGTCCAGCAGTTGCTATTAAGGAAATGCTCAATTAGAAATTATAGTATAAATACTTTCTATAAAGCTAAGAGACTATGACAAACTTAAGTGTATCATCAGAAATGCTATTACAAATTCCCTGGTCAGCTTCACTAAGGTCTTATTCAGGTTCTCTCTTTGTCTTTCAATATGGTTCTTATACTCTTCTACAATTTCATTCTCCACCTTACAACGGCTACTCTTCTAATCCCCTGTCCTACTCACCGCCAAAGCCGTTTGACCGCCTTGACCCTCACGCAACGCCTTGTTCTCCGCCTCCAGACGTTGGATTTTGTCCACCATAGCCGCCGGCTGTAGCTCTCGTGACACTGTGTTGCCCGTCAAGCTGCCCGAGTTTGTGGAGAGCTGTCCACACTTTAACTCATCGAACGCCTCTCGCAAATTATCCCGCTCTTTGAGCAAACTATCCTTCTCACGTTGCAGTGCCAATGCTTTGCTCTCCAAGTTCTTGTTGTCGAACTCGAGCTTGACATTTTTGCTGCTCTCATTGTCAAGTTTGGTGTGCAGGTCCTGGATCTCTTTCTTGAAGAGCTCAATCTGCCCCTTGGTGTTCGCATAGCGTTTGGCATCCTCTTCGAATTGAGCATTCTGCTGAACATAGTCGGCGCTGCGCTCCTCAAGCATTTTCACATGCTTCTTCAAATCGTTGTACTCCTCGAGCTTCTTCTTGTAGGTCTCCAGTTGAGCCTCGCATACCTTAAGCTTTTCCGTGGACTCACGCAGCACGTCCACCTCGTCTTTAAGAGAGGTCAGCTCTGCGGTGGTTTTCTATCAGTAAATAGAAGTCATTAGATATCAAATATATTTAACATAGATTTTAGTCTATTCCACCATTAGCTCATCAATGCGCTGCTGCATATGTAGTATGTCCGCCTCTTGTTGCTGTGCCTTGATTTTCAAGTCTTCACGCGCGCCCTCCGACTGCAGCAGTTCCTCCTTGACCAACTCCAATTGACGTCTAAATGAAAGTGGTGATAATTGAGAAAGTTTTACTTTTATATATATATAAATTTTTATTAACATCAATGTTGGGAAAAGTCACCTCAGCTCATTATAGCGCACGGAACCTGCCTGTATGGGACCTAGGGAAACGCCATCATCCCCAATTGTATTGAGCTCCAGGCGTGCAAATTCCTGTTGAATCTTTTGCAGCTCCTGCTGTAAATTATTTTTCTCATCAATCAGGAGCAGCATTTTCTTTTCAGTTTCGAAACACTTTTGGGCCATGGCATCACGTTCCTCCTGTGCCTTAGTATTGCCTTCGAGCATGTTGCTCAAAGAGTTGCGCGACATGGAGCTAACCACGCCGCCCCCTTCGACGCTCTGACGTGTCGATGATTCGAGATCTTGCAGTGCTCGCATTATATTCGCCTGCAGCTCCTCCTCAAGGCACATTATCTCGCATATGTACGACTGTTTCTTGGCACAGTTGACGGCACAGCCCAGCACTAGCTGAAGCAGGCGCTCCAATTCCGTTAGATCACACTTCTCTGCAATGGCCTGCACATCCGGCTTGGCGAAGTCTGGCTGCAGGGTGTAATTCAAGACATCACTATAGTATTCATAGACGCCCTCGACAACCTTTTTCAGATTGCTCATACGTAGACGCCAATTGCTGCCAACTGCGCTCGATTTGATTTTCGACAGCCACGAATTGGTGAATGATTCAGGTGCAAATTGATTAAGAGCCTGAGCTAATGCAACGCCGTCGGACAGCTCCTCGGCATTTGCATGCGGTGCATTTAGATTGAGTGTTTTGAACCACTCCAATAGACTGTAATACATTCCGTTCTGTGCAGACATCGTGTACAATGAACAATTACGATAAAAATGAAACAGAAATTAGAAATTTTTCACAGAAAAAATAACACAGCTGTTGCTGCGTAAACAAAACAGCTGCACTGACGATAGCGGTGACAAAAATACCGATATGCTATCGAGAAGCCGATAAATGTATGTTGCATTTAACAGCGGAACTCCCGTACTTGATTAAATATCGTTTTCAGGTAAACAAATAAAAGTTAACTGTCATTTCAATCTACTGCCCATTCAAATTTATTAGTTCCTTAATTATTCATTATGTTGAAATCTATGGCAGCCATTGTGCCATTATTGCTGCTGCTATTTATACACTGTTCCACCAGTTTGAGTTTGTCATCGTATTCTCTCATTTTATCGATTGGCGTCCAGCTTAAATCATATTCCAGTCTATAGCTGCCCTTGAAGGTTTGATCTGCTGGAGGATTCCATTCCTACAATACATTGTATATATTTAAACAATGTTTGTAAATGTAATGCATGAGTATTTACCTCTGGTGACAACATGCTAAAATAGTTCTGTCCCGTTGATCTTTGATAAAGGTGATAAATATGTCCAGGCCTCTTAGTGAAATTGCAGGCAGCGCTGTGCAGGGCTTGACTCTCATTGGACTCTTTCAATATGCTCATTGCCTGCGCTTGCAGCATTTTTATCTAAAATATAAATGTTCCTTTATAGTCATATATAGCCTTTTCTCTATATTTCTCTTACCTGATCGAGAATAACAACCAATTTTTGATGGGTACTATTTTTTAGTTGCTTATCCGCCGATTGTATTTGCTGTGCAAGATTTATTATGTCCGTTTCATCATGCATAGATACACGCAGTGGATCCAGTTGAAATTGCGGGTTACGCTCCACCAATTGAGCTGTGTTTAATGAAAAAAAAAAAAAGATTACTTCCAAAAAACTACTCTTATCAATGAAATACGCACACACACACAAACATAAACACACCTCATTCATTTCAATTTACTTCTATTAATATATTATTTTCCTTACCTTTCTTTATTGCTGTCTCATAAATTAACTGCGTATCCATTGTGCAACTTCTTTTCATTACACAAACATTAAATTAAGTTAAAAAGGAAAATTGCCAAAGTCGAAAAGATAGGACGTGTTTACAACAAAATTTACGCAAACAAATAACATGTGTTCTATGCGATGTCTATCGATAGGTATATTGCAGTAATCGATTAGCAATACGCGCTCATTATCAAAATGTTTGATTTTTGCGCTAAGCAGTGGTGTCTTATAAATTGGTACACCTTTGTTTTGTTTTGTTTTTCAATTTTGTTAGGTATTCAAAAAACATGAAATTTCATTGTAAAAATATATATTTATTTTATTCTACTTATTATTAATATTTTTTTTAGTTAACAACTTTTTGCTTTATTTGTATTTGTAACTAATTAAGTAAATGCTTTCACAGTGTAAAGGAAAATATAAAAATAAATGATTTCACTAACATTTCTAAACATTTAAGTTGCTCAAGTCACTTTAAGTACAGAGCACTTCTGAACATTTATATAGGCACGTAAAAACTACATAGTTTATAACTATAGGTTGGCTAGATATAAAAAAATCATTTATTGTTTAAGGTCATCCGGCTTTTCTTCCTGACTTTTTTCATAGGTCTGTTAAAAATTTAAAATAGTTCATATTATATGAAATTCCAAAATTAAATGATTTATTTATTTACCTGCTGTGCAATTTTCAGTAATTGCTCAAATGTTGTTTTGCCTGTCTGCATGACCATGTCGTGAAAAACCTTACTCTCCGACTTTGTCAAGAGCTCATAAGGCGAACCGAACTCCACGACATGTCCAGCATCTAAGACCAACACCTTATCCAAATCCATGATCGTGTGCAGCCTGTGGGCTATGGTAAGTACGGTGCAGTCCTTAAACTTGTTCCTAATGGTCGTCTGAATCAGTGCATCCGTCTGCGGATCCACATTGGCGGTGGCCTCATCCATGACCAGAATACGATTCTCGCGAAGAATAGCTCGAGCCAGGCAAATCAATTGACGTTGACCCACGCTGAAATTGGAGCCACCTTCGGAAACGTTGCTCAGCAAACCCATCGGCAACTCGCTGATCTCTTGCTTAAGATGTACCTGAATATTAAAGTTGAGTTAAAATTTATTTAAATAATCTAATGTTTCATCAAACGCACCTCCTCCAAAGCTTGCCATAGCTTGGAGTCGTCATACTGCTCAAAGGGATCCAGGTTGTAGCGTATTGTGCCAGAGAACAAGACCGGCTCCTGAGGTATAATCGAGATCTTGCTGCGCAGATCGTGCAGGCCCATCTCCTCCGTGTCCCGCCCATCGATCACTATGGAACCATCGTTATACGAGAGCCGGAATAGGGCGTTAATCAGTGAGGATTTGCCTGCGCCCGTGCGACCCACAATGCCCACCTTTTCCCGTGGCTCAATGACGAAATTCAATGACTTGAGTATATACGGAGCTTGAGGATCGGGCGCATAACGCAAACTCAAATCGTCAGCCACAATTTGACCAGCTGGTGGCCAACTGGCTGGCGGCTTCTTCTCTCCCACTGCATTGAATTCTCCTTCAGCTTTCAGGCTTCGGTACTCAATCACTCGCTCCACCGAGGTCATCGAGTTCTCCAGTTCGGCCGACTGTCGCATGCCCCACTGCACCATGCCAGTCATGGACATGGCCTGTGTAATGGCCAGGCCAATTTGTCCCGGATTCTCGGGCGGATTCACAAAGTTGTTGAGTATTATAATCAACACGTAAATCACGCAGAATAAATCCAAATAGTAGCCAAAGGCTCGGCTGGTGGAGAGGAATGTGTAATAGCCAATGGAATGCTTGTCCTGGTAGTCATCGTATTCAGCTATCAGCATTCGCTGAGCACGCATCGCCCGTATGGTGGGCAGTCCGTTCAGGGTGGCGCCAAAATGCGAATACATCGGCGAACGAGCCACCGCCTCCAGACGCTTCACATCGCGGGATGTGCTCAGATAGAAATTGCGCAGATAGTAAAAAGAGAGCAGCATGGCCAGCGTGTTGATCAGATACCACGGATTCGTAACACATAGCACGGTTATTATTCCAGCCAGCGTAAGGAATACCTGGATGCAGTCCAGCATGACAAGCGGCAGCACCTCATCCACCTGACCCATGTCCATGGCAAAGCGATTCAGTATGCGACCCGACGGATTCGTATTGAAGAAATGCATGGCTACTCGCGTAATGCTACGGAACATGGCGTTGTGCAACTGCGTGGACGAATGCATGGCCATGTTGAAGAAGAGTAGCGTACGCAATACGGCGAATATGATCAACGTAATATTGATGGCCGCAAAGTAGTAGATGTCCGAGGACGACGACGAGCTGTTCTTTACCCTGCAAATAAATATAAATATGGAAGTACATGCATAGTATATATGTACATATGTATATGATAATGATATGATATGTTAGTTAACAGCTACTACTATTATTTAAAAGCTGCTAAGAACTAACATAACATAAGACTGTTAAAGGAGAATGTTGCCTATATACATATGTACATACATATGTATATCTGTCTCTCTTTCTGTTTTCGTGCCTACCTCACAGTCTGGCTCTCTGTCTGTCTCTCTGCATGCCAGACTAAAGCAAAGGAAGAAGAGGAGCTACATAGGATCATTAAAGTTATCTATTTGTATGCCGCAGTATTCATTGGCTACTTATATTTAAGGAGAACGAAACTAGAATGCTTCCAGCAGCAGAGAGTGTTCCCATTGGTCAATTAAAGTTCGACTGCAACGACCTCCACCTGACGTCGGGCTCAACATTTGAGTGATTGAGTGAAAGTCGCCCTATATAAAGGGCAGCAGCTGCAGCACTTCTTCAGTCGCCCAAGCCCGATGGGGGTCAGTCGTGCAAGTGTCAAGTGAAGTGTGAGTAAATATTTACTCCTCGGTCGGCGATGGAAGAAATATTTGGAAGAAATACTTGGAAGGAATACTTAGAGGTAACACTGAGAAAACATTATTATAGGAAATACTCAGAGGAAGAAATTGTTGAAGGAAATACTTAGAAGAAAAACTATTCGCGAGCTATCCTGCTTGCTGATCATCTTACGCTAGCTTCACATTCTACTAACACAACAGCAAACTGTTACAGTCATTCATTTAACATTAATACCCACTGTTAAAATCCAATACATATATGAATGTATGTAAATATGTATTCTTATAAGAACTATTATATTATAACTACTCTTGCCTACCATTTAATCTACGTGACTGCAAACTCAATCTTAATCTAAACATTTTTTTGATTTTAATTATTATAAAATGCATATATTTTCCTAATTAAATTAATTACTGCTTGTGTGTCTTATCAGCGAAAATTGAAATTATTCTTTATTTCTAATTATTCCTTCTAATTCTACTCACCAGTAGGACAGGAAGTAATCGCCCCAGGATGCCATCACTTGTGTGCCCAGACACAAGAAGATCACAAACAGAAACATCAAGCAGCCGCAGCCGGCAGTGAAGTATTTTTGATACATGCCCAAGCCAATTTTGTCGGAGGAGCGCGATTCTTGAACTTCCTTTGGGCGCTCCTTGCCTGCCATCAACGAATCATTCACACTGGAGTCCATAGTGGATAGGCTGGTGCGACTCTCGACGCTATTCTGGCGTGAGTACGAGTTCGAGATTTCGTTGGCATCACCTGCACCAGCTGAGTCCACGTCCGCCTCCCCCTGCTGCTCCTCTTCGTTCTCCTCCGGCTCTCGCTGTGCCAGCAGCTGGGCAAAGTCCTGTCCGCTCTTGAGCATGTGCTCATAGGTGCCAATGTCCAAGACGCGGCCCTTGTCCATGATCACAATCAGATCGGCGTGCTCCAAGAACTGCAGCTGATGCGTGACCAGGATGACGAGCTTCTTGCGCAGAAACTCTCGCATGCATTTCTCGAACAGATGTCGTCCCACGTGCGTGTCCACTGCACTCAGTGGATCGTCGAGCAGATAAACATCGGCCTTGCGATAGACAGCGCGTGCAAGGCTAATGCGCGCCTTTTGTCCGCCGGAGAGCGACACTCCCCGTTCCCCCACAAGGGTCTTGTCGCCCTGATCCAACAGCTCAAAGTCCCGCTCCAGTGCACACATCTTGACCACCGTTCGATAACGTTGCCTATCCAGCGGCTGGCCAAAGAGTATATTGTCGCGCACGCTGGCACAGAAAAGCCATGGCTCCTGCGACGCATAGGAGCAGCGTCCGTTCAGCTTCACCTCGCCCGCCTCCGCTGGCAGCTCACCGAGAATGGCCTGGATGAGACTGGATTTGCCGGCGCCCACGGGTCCAATGACAGCGACCAGCTGCTGGCTCTTCAGCTCCATAGTGATGTCATCCAAAATGGGCTCCCCGTGCTGCGTATCCCAACGTGCTTTCAGCTGCTTGATCTCAACACCAATATCCGAACCCAGCTGCTGCTGATTGCCATTCGCTAGCAGTTTCTTGCTCTCCGCCGCCTTCTCCTCCTCGGGCTCCTCCTCCAACATGGCCACATCCGTCTCCTCGCGCACCATAAAGGCTGTTATGCGGCGCAACGAGACCAACAGCTCCGCTACTTGAGACATGCCACTGGGAAAGAATTTGCTCATGGTCCGCCGCAGGACATTATAAAAGGCCGTCACACAGAACGCCTGCTCCGCCGTGACCTGACCTCCAGCCAGCACGTAGGCCAGAAGGCTGGCAAAGATGGCCAAGCGTCCCAGGGTTATCTCAAACGACAATAGGATTCCGCGTATATAGTTCACCTTGCGTATGACGTTCATTTCGCTGACTCGCGCCCTGGCGACCATCTGCTCGAACGGCTGCTCCCAGGCGTACATCTTGATCGCCTGGATGCCGGCTATGATCTCGTTCATCATCCGCACACGTCGATCAGTGCGCAGCGCTGTGCGCAGTCGCAGCGCCGAGGTCAGCCGGCTCAGGTACGTCTGCAGTGGCACATAGAGCAAGAGTATGGCAATGCCATAGAAGGAGGCGACACCGATCTGCGCATACAGGAAGTACGAGGCAATCAACAGCTCCAGTGGACCGAGCCACAGGAAGTGCATGTGGATCAGGGCACGATCAAAGCGACCCAAGTCATTGGACACC